TGGGAGTAGATACACCATATTTTATTCAACTGTTTCCCTGTAGATAGACATTTACTTTGTTTCTGACTTTTTACCACTATGGACAAGTCTTGCAATAGATATACTTTATATATATCTTCACATCTGGTGGTTATATTTCCAAGCATTGCAGTTACAACAGGAACAATCTCCAACAGTGGCATTTTTGGGTTGAAGGGTATACGTATTTTTAATTTGAATAATTTGCTAGTTTGCTTTTCAAAAATGTTGTAGCAGGCCAGGTGTGGTGGCTCATGCCTGTAATCCCAGCACTTTGGGAGGCCAAGGCAGGTAGATCACCTGAGGTCAGGAATTTCAGACCAGCCTGGCCAACATGGTGAAACCCCACATCTACTAAAAATTAAAAAATTAGCTGGGCATGGTAGTGGGTGCCTATAATCCCAGCCACTTGAGAGGCTGAGGCAGGAGAATTACTTGAACCCAGGAGGCGGAGGTTGTGGGAGGTGGAGGTTGCAGTGAGCTTAGATTGTGCTATTGCACCCCAGCCTGGGCGACAAGAGCAAGACTCCATCTCAAAAAAAAAAAAAAAAAAGTTGTAACAATTCATATTTCTATCAGCAAATGATGAGAAATAGTTATTACTCGTTTAAATGTTTGCCAGTCTGATGAGAATAAAATAGCATCAGTTTTTTTTCCTGACTAATAAATATGAATATCTTTTTTTTTTTTTTACTTTTTTCTTTTCCTGGGGCCAAGTAGCCGTCTTTTTTTAAAAAAAGAGAGCCAGGGAAACGGCCGGGCACAGTGGCTCACACCTGTAATCCCAGCGCTTTGGAAGGCTGAGGTGGGCAGATCACGAGGTCAAGAGATCAAGACCATCCTGGCCAACATGGTGAAACCCTGTCTCTACTAAAATACAAAATTAGCTGGGCATGGTGGTGCGCATATGTAGTCCCAGCTACTCAGGAGGATGAGGCAGGAGAATTGCTTGAACATAGGAGGTGGAGGTTACAGTGAGCCGAGATCGCGCCACTGCACTCCAGCCTGGCACCTGGTGACAGAGCAAGACTGTCTCCAAAAAAAAAAAAAAGAGCCAGGGAAATAGTATGCTGCCCAGGCTGGTCTTGAACTCCTGAAAAATGCTAAATATCATCAGTCATTAGAGAAATGCAAATCAAAACCACAATGACATATTATTTCACACCTACCAAGATGGCTGTAGTCACAAAAATGAGAAACAAATATTGGTGAATATGTAGAAATTGGAACACTGGTACTTTGCTGGTAGGAATATAAAATGGTACAACTGCTTTGGAAAAACAATTTGGTAGTTCCTCAGAGAGTTAAACATAGAATTGCAATATGCTCAAGTAGTTCCACCTCTAGGTATATTGTGAAAATCATTGAAAACAAGTACTCAAACCAATATAAATACATGCATGTTCATAGCAGCCCTATTCACAATAATAGCCAAAAGGTGGTAACACCCAAATGTCCATCAACAGATGAATGGATAAACAAAATGTGCTGTGTGTACACACACACATGCAGTGGAATATTATTTAGATATACATAAAAAGGAATAAAGTACTTCTGCATGCCACAATGTAGATGAACCAAATGAGGCTGGGTGCAGTGGCTTATGCCTGTAATCTTAGCACTTTGGGAGGCTGAGGCAGGAGGATTGCTTGAGCCCAGGAGTTCAAGACCAGCCTGGGCAACATAGTGAGACCTCATCTCTTAAAAAAGAAAAAGAAGGCCGGGTGCGGTGGCTCACACCTGTAATCCCAGCACTTTGGGAGGCTGAGGCGGGTGGATCACGAGGTCAGGAGATCAAGACCATCCTGGCTAACATGGTGAAACCCCGTCTCTACTAAAAATACAAAAAGTTAGCCAGGCGTGGTGGCATGTGCCTGTAGTCCCAGCTACTCGGGAGGCCAAGGCAGGAGAATCGCTTGAACTTGGGAGGTGGAGGTTGTAGTGAGCCAAGATTATGTCACTGCACTCCAGCCTGGGCACAGAGAGAGACTCTGTATCAAAAAAAAAAAAAAAAAAAGAAAAGAAAAAAAATCATAAGTGAAATAAGCCAGACATACAAGGTCTTATATTATGTGATTTTTTTTTTTTTTTTTTTAGACTTAGTTTCACTCTTTGTTTCCCAGGCTCGAGTGCAGTAGCATGATCTTGGCTCATTGCAACCTCCACTTCCTGATTCAAGCGATTCTCCTGCCTTAGCCTCCCAAGTAGCTGGGATTACAGGTGCTCACCACCACACCTGGCTAATTTTTTGTATTTTTAGTAGAGACAGGGTTTCACCATGTTGGTCAGGCAGGTCTGGAGAACTCCTGACTTCAGGTGATCCACCTCCCTCAGCGTCCCAAAGTGCTGGGATTACAGGTGTGAGCTATCACGCCTGGCCTGATTTTATTTTTATGAAATATCCAGAATACATAAATATGTAGAGACAGAAAGCAGATTGGTGTTGTCAGGGGCTGGGGAGTAGGGGTAGGGGAGTAACTACTTAGTGGGTGCAGGATTTCCTTTTGAGGTGAAGAAAATGTTTTGAAACTAGATAGAGGCAGTGTTTGCACACATTGTGAATGTATTAAATGCCACTGAATTGTTGACTTTAAAATTGTTAATTTTATGTGAGGAAAGAAAAAGGAAAGAAAGGCTGGTTCTCACTGGGTGCATGAAATGTTCAGGTGAACTGAAGAAGTGTAGGGAAGGCAGTTTAGGTGGGAAGAAAAATGAAAGTAAAAACAGACCGGTTTGCTGGGTGTGGTGGCCCATGTCTGTAATTCCAGCACTTTGGGAGGCCCAGGTGGGTGGATCATGAGGTCAGTAGTTCGTGACCAGCCTGGCCAACATGGTGAAACCCCATCTCTACTAAAAATACAAAAATTAGCCAGTCGTGGTGGCATGCACTTGTAATTCCAGCCACTCAGGAGGCTGAGGCAGGAGAATTCCTTGAACCCAGGAGGCGGAGGTTACAGTGAGCCGAGATCATGCCACTGCACTCCAGTGTGGGCAACAGAGCAAGACTCTGTCTTAAAAGAAAAAAAAAAAAAGCCGAGTGATTAGAGTTTGAGTTAGGGAGTCACTGGGAGAGAGATTGGGCAAATCATGAAGGCTCTGGCTTATATTTAATATTTGAGACACAGGAGAGAGGGCATGCCCTATTTACTAAGGTGGCTGAACTTAATCTTTAGCCCTATAGGCAATGGAGAATGAGTGGCTTTTGACCAGAAGAGGAACACTGTGAGATGAATTACTGAAATATCAATAAGTATCTAGGAGATCTAGGGTATAGGGTATAGGCCAATGATACCGAATGCATCCAGGCACAGGTCGTGGTGACCTAGAGAGGAAGCAGTAGGAGCAGTAGCCATGCTCAGTGCTGCGGACATGCCACACACTGTTTTATAAGATTTGATTCATATAGTTTGACTCTTCAGAGCAACTCTATCAAATAGAAACTGTTTCTTCTCAATGTGCAGGTCAGGAGAAACAGCCTCAGAGTAACTGAGAAACTCGCCTAAAGTTGCACAGCTAGTAACATGACCTAGATTTGAACTCAAACAGACTGACTCCAGAGCTGCTGAAATTTTGATTATGAGGCAAAAATGAATGAGAGATTGTTTTGATGCCTACTCACCAGCTTGTGAGGTTGAGGAGGAGGAGGTTGGAGGAAGGGGCAGCAGAGCCAGAGTGAAGACATTTTCCCCCTAGGTAATCAAAGGCTAGTGTAGGCCTAGTCAGGTGGACCTTCACTCAGTCATCTCTTGCTGGCAGATGGACTTGGAGACTAGAGCTCATGGCTAGAGAGAAAGCTTCAGGAGGCTAGCAAAGGGGCTTTTCAGCAGGGAAGGAGGGCCAGGAAAGTCCCACTCCCCTCGCTTCCCACCTACTGCCACTCCCGTGTACCCTGCTCGCACCCTGCCAGGCCCTCCTGGCCACATCCACAGGCGCCCGTCAGGCGGTTAGTGCCTCTCAAACGGCCACCTGCCCTTGTCTCCAGAAGCCACAGGGCTGGCTCTTCGCAGGATGGCGCTGGAGCTGTGGGAGGCGCCCACCACAGATTCCACCTTCCCACCAGTTCCTAATGTTTGGGATGAAAAAATTAATGATGTTTCTTTTCTAAGCTTCTAGGAAAGGAAAGTGGGTGAGAATGTGGTAACTTTTTTCTTCTTTTGGTTTTCAGTCATACAGCTTTGCTTCGTTTTGATTAAAAAATGTTCCCTAACAGGTTATGATGAAAAGTTGTCTTCTATTGAAGCTTCCAGTGTTGAGGGGAGATTAAGGCAACAGAGAAAGTTCCAAAAATAGAAAAGCCTCAGTTATCATAGTAGCTTCTTAACACCTCAGCCATGAGTCCCTTTTCCTCTCCAGTCCATGGTTGCAGTATTGGAGTGTTCATCTCTGGGAGCGTTGTCATTACAACGCTGAGGGCGCAGCCTCACAGCAGCTCTCCCTTCAGCCCCTCCCATCTTCAGTGTGCCTCCTGCCCTCAGGCCGGGCTCCAGCCACACCGCCTCCCAAGGCTGTGCTTGCCTTCTGCTTATGGCCTTTATCCTGGCTGCTTCCTCTTCCTACAGTGCTCTTCTTTGTCCTGCATTGTCACTTGCTGCCCAGCTTTCAGGATTCAGCTCCCACGCTTTGCCATGCAGTCCCTCCTAATCCTCCCCAGCACCATCTGATGTAAACACTGTTATACCCATTCACAGATGACACAAATGTATGTGTAATGTGCATGTAAACATTATACCCATTTTACGGATACAGTGATAGAGCAAACAGAGGCACATAGAGATTTTAAGAATTTGTTTAATATCACACAAGAAGTAAATCAAGGAGCTTATTCCAAAGTCCATCCTCTCAACTACCATCCAGTATCAGCAGAGTTCAAAGCAGCATCTGATTGAGATGTACCATGAAGCTATACCGTAAGCTCTCCAAAGCAAGAAATGTGAGGAAGCTTTGCTAAACCGTTTTTCTCTGTCTTTCCTCTTTGGGTCCAGGTCGAAGTAAAGCCATATGTGCTGGATGATCAGATGTGTGATGAGTGCCAGGGCACGCGCTGTGGTGGGAAGTTTGCCCCATTCTTCTGTGCCAACGTCACCTGTCTGCAGTATTACTGTGAATACTGCTGGGCGAGTATACATTCCCGAGCCGGGCGGGAGTTCCACAAACCGCTGGTGAAGGAGGGAGGCGACCGCCCTCGTCATGTCCCGTTCCGCTGGAGCTGAGCCACGGGCCGTCCCAGCCACAAGTACTGGAGTAGATGACAAGGAGGGAAAAGAGAGGGCACTGCCTCAGGGCTTACAGTGTTCTGGAAATCTGTGCATTCGTTCTTGATTTTTAAAGAAGAATTGGGTCTTTTTATTATTATTATTATTATTTACAGTCATATTACTGAACTCAGTGTCCAGTATAATTTAGAATTGCAGAGTGTAGGACGGTACTGATTTGCACTTTGATTCACACCTTTGTCTGCTTGGTACCTTAATTTTTTATACCTGATTTGTCACTTGTGACAGTATGTAGACTGCCATTCTCATCAGCGGCCGTCAGGCTACTGTCTGTGATTCTTCTGTTTGTTGTTGTGGTGGTGGTCTGATTGTTTTGAACTGGAGCATGCACTTATTTTCAGAAACTTAGAGAGTCGCCCCTAGGACAAGACTTACCAAAGGTAATACTCGTGAGTAGGTGGCAGATGTAGCAAAAACTTCACAATAGTTCAGCAATCATTAGTTGGGGTCACTTAGAGTAAGGATAACCCTTCATGAAAATAAGCCTTTAGTTGCTCTCTATTTTGACTTGTAAGGATACCTCATAAGCTGGATCTTTAATTTTTCCTTCATGTTTGATTTTTGTTTTGCCGAGGATTTTGGTTAGATCCTTTAGTATTATGTAAATTTATGCTGCAATAGCTTTTGCTGCTATTAAAATGGTATTTTTAATACCATAATACACTATTCAGGCTAAGATATCAATTAAAAGACACAAAAACCCAACAACACACTTTTGTGATTTTAGGGATAGAGTCAGCTGCCGAAAGGAGATGAGAATAGACTTCAGAAAGCTTCGGTGGAAGGTCACTATTTCTGACTGCATGTTTACTTAATCAGGTTGCTGCATGCAATAAATTTTATATCCAATGTCTAGTATAAAACGTTCCCACGATGCACAAATTAAGACTCTATATAAGCTATAAAATACTCATTTTTTAAAAAAAGGTTTTTTTCATTCAAAGAATTGGTAATTGACCGGAGGAAGGCATGCCTCAATAAATGGAATGCTTCTGAATGGGAAGAGCCCATAACAGAATGATCTATATTACAACCAATAGAAAACCTAGGTGTAGGATATTCTTCAAGCAAATTTGTGGATGGTAGATGAAGTACTTTGCGGTGCTCTGTTATATATTGTGCAATTTATTTTATATAGTAAAGTGATTATGTCTAACTGTGATCAGACTTAACTGTTTAAAGCCTCTGTGTCAGACATTAACGAACTTGACAGTTCCTAACTGGTATATTATTAACTAACACATGAGCTCTTAGTTACAATCTCTTAGTGCTTGCACCATTTTACATAGCTTCAGACCTTGTCCAGAAAACCAAAGAGCTCATCTTAGCTTACAAACACTAAGAATATATACAGTATATAGAGATAAGTTGTCAGATTGACAAACTAGGCACATTTTTAAGAAAGTTGTGTAATGGTGATGCTAAAGAAATGTCTGTACAAGAGAAGATGGCCTGGGCAGAGTTGGTTGTCTGGGTGAGAAACTAACTACTTAATTCCCTGGATTTATCCTGTTAAGCTTGAATAGAATTAAGACCTGCTAGTACTAGCGTGGACATTTTTTTAGCATTCACTCTTGGGCTGCAGATAGTAATATATAAACACACACAATGATTGCAAGACTATGTAAATCTTTTTTTAATCTTCTTCCTATGTTTTGGAATTCTGGGGACAATCTGACTGGATATGACACTGCAGAATAGATTTCAGTCACTGTGTTTTCTGTGCTGTGATGTCCTTGTACTGTCTTAAGTTAGTGTTGCTTGTTTTTGTTCTGTTCTCCCATGTTTAGTTGCAATTACTGGCTCTCAAGCTATAGTTTGTTTTCAAAAAGGAAAAACAAAATAGTTTTTTACTGGATTAAAAATGCTTATTTTAGAATCCTCCCCTTTTGAGGCTTTTTGGTAATAATTGCTTTTTTCCAGCCCAGGTGTGGTTTTGTTTGTTTTTTTCTATGTTTGTGGGTTTTTTTTTTCATCTGTACAAGAAATTTTGTTATGCACTACTACTTTTTGTATTCTAGACAGTTTTCAAAAGTTGGCAGACTTTTTTTTTGTTTTTAAGGAAAAAGGCATGCTTTCTGACTGACATGATCTTTTGCAATACCTCAATTTTGAAATATAGGAAAGAAAATGATATTTTCTAAGTAAGTTTATTCAGAAAATATATATTAATTTAATTCTGCAAGAAAATGATTTAACAGATGGGTAACTTTATTTTTTTCATGCTTATTTGTGTTTTTTGAAAATGAAGAAGTTAGAGCTTTATAACTATAATATTAAAGATCATATCTAACCTACAGAAATCTACCTAATTATGTGAAAGAAGCAAAACTTTTTGAAGAAGCACCCCTCTTTCATGTATTAAAATAACACTGAGATTTTTTAAAAAGCTGGAAGATTGTACAGCATAAAGCTAAAGTGAAGGCAAAAAACCATTGTCCTGAAGAATAGGTTACAAAAAATAAACTCCATTTGGTGCTGAAAGTTGTGACTAGATGGTGGAAACTACTTTCCCTTAATTTGTATATTTATAATCAAGCGTTGATTGTGCACGACTGACCAGGATTGTGAAAGAGTTCTTCTGTTTGTATTTTTTTAAAGAGAACTTTTTTAGTTTATTAAATTATAACATGTTCCCTTTTGTTTTGTAAATAAATGTGCCCCCAAGTTGTTAATGTTATATTAAAAGAGAGGGTCCTTCAAAAAAATTATTTTTTAAAACACAGAGGTGTTCTGACCTGCAACTTGACTGGGAAGCCCCTGGGTAACACAGGTCCTGCTGTGGCCTTTCCTTGGTGTGACACTTGAACTAGTCGATTTTTTGAAGGCTATAACCTAACCTCGACTATTTGTTGTTATGTGCAATACTGTTTGTACTGTTTGTATAAAAAATAGAAAAAAAAAAGAAAAGAAAAAAGGCATAAATCTTTATTGCAGATTTATTTTCATTGCAACTTTAGACATTGTGATTCACTGAAATCATTTTTCTACTGTCAAATATGTACCTTTTCTTCATGCTGGTATTTTTTCAATAGTAATGTAGCCTTTGTACTGAGACAAATTTTCATTGTTATTTTTAGAAAGATTTTTTGCTAAGAAAAAAATTAAACATATTTACATATTTTTCATTTTATTTCGTATTTTCTTTAAGGAGTGCTTTCTCAATCATTAATAGAGTTGTTTCTGGGAGGGACTTTCATATCTGGTCAATGTCATAATATTATTTTGTATTTTTATTGGAATAAATTAATTTTATGATGCTAATTCTTTAAAAGTTTATTTTTTTCATTTTCAGTTATTTTTGAAGCTAAAACCTTTGTAATATTGTTACTAAAGTGTCTAGTTTTTTGAAATGCAAAGCTTTATGTATTAACTTGCTGATGTGGTTTACAATAGTGTGACAACGATGAAAATGGTTGGTTATGTAAAGTGATTGGAAATGTCATGGATAATTGGGTAATAAAATGACAGAATGAGCAGAACATGTGAGATTTTGAGAAGCCTTTTCCTTTATCACAGTGGTTTAGTGTAAGACTAGGGATGTCACAGTGCAGTTCTCTAGGGATGTCACGGTGGATTTATACAACACCAGGTGCAGCCAAACCTGTGGCCCTGAGAATGAAGTCACCCCAGCTGAAATACCACCAGGTTTCAAATCTGGCTAAGTCAACAGAGTGTGTCATCACTTTTCCCCTCTAACTCTTCATTATGTCGTGTGTGTGTGTGTGTGTGTGTGTGTGTGAGAGAGAGAGAGAGAGAGAGAGAGAGAGAGTGAGCGAGAGAGAGAGAGATCTGCCACCAACTGCTGTCCTTGTGCGAGACAGTGCCTTTCTCCCAGGCCGAATCCTTGATGTGCACTGACAGTGGTGATGTCTGAGTCATAGGAAGTTGCAAAGAGGACACGGCCTTCGTGGTGTAGTGCAGCCCTCAGCTGCAGTGTCTCACACATGCTCCTCCCTGTAAGGCTGTTGGTGGCCCTGAGGACGCACACTCGAATGTCACCACTGTCTGTAGACCCTGTCTGTGTCGGGCTGCATCTTCCTCCACAACCATGCCTGCTTCCTGTTCCGGTGCCCCTTGTTTGCCTTCATTGTGGCAACTCCGTGCATGATCTGTCTGCCTTTCTGCTGCTGCTTTTCCAACACCCCCCTCACCTGGAAGCTGTGCTGTAAGGCAGTGTGTCATTGCAATAGCACCTACAGTCAAAGCAAAAACTACAACTGCAAAACTGGTGTTGCGTAAACAGAACAGCCAATGACTTGCTCCAGATAGATGTTAACGTTTCTACTAGTCGTTGACGGCCTCTTCCAGCTCCATCGCTATGGAGGCGAGGTGAATCAATAACTCAGAGAAACTTGTGTCCAGAGTTGGTCTTGGGTACGCTCTATGTATTCAGTTTTGTAAATAATATATAGATTAGATCAAGTTGTGATGTAAAATTTTAACTCAAATTGGGTACTACTGGTTGGAATTTTACATTAACTACAAATAAATGATTAGGAACAGAAGAAAAGAAATTGGAAAATTCTCGCTTAGTGGTATAAAGATTATGCTTAGATTTCTGCCTCTATCTTGTTTTTTATAGCTTGTTAGTGAGGCATGGACTAATGCAGAATGTACTGCATTTATGCAATTAGCAAATAATGCTAGTTTTCATTTTACCTATTAGCAACAAAATGGCATTTAACTGGGTAAAGCTCCTACCTAAATATTTGAGTATTGTGACATCTCTACTTGCAAGGTTTGAGTGAAAGATTAGTCACAGATTAGTGAAAAAATGTATCTTTTTGTTAAAACTGGCTTATTTGAATGGGTTGTTGCTTTTCACTAGCTTGTATGGTATGTCAGCTAACATTTCTTTGTTTTTTTCTTTTATAACCAAACTTCTCTATTTCAGCTGCAATAGTGTTCCATCTTACCACAGAGTATTTTATAATTAATGCTGTTGACTTTACTCTATACCCCAAAATGGGTCAAGAAGTGGATATATGATTCGGGGATGTTTAAATTTGTATGACGACAAAGTTAATTGCAACAAGTAGAAAACTTGGGTGCTAATACAGGATAACTTCTGCTCTTTTTCTTTCCTGGATATCGTTCTGTTGGGGTATAAAGTATTAGGTATTTGTATTTTTGCTGTCAAAATAATGGACTTAACTTTTAGAGTGTTCACAGCTAAGATCTCTGTATTTGTTTTTCAACTAACAACTAATTTTAAATGTATTGTATCTTTTATTACCTGTTCTCTTAGATTGTTTTTTGCTAGTAACCCTTACTCAGCTTCTGCCTTTGGGGCTTGGACTACTATTGCTTGTATGGAACTACAGTACTGTGACTAAACATGGAGCTCAGTGCAGCTACTGCTTACAACGCTTAAACTTTGTAGTTTGGACTTCATTTTTTTCTGTAATAACAACTTATTAAATCTAGTTGTATGAAGTACTGACACTTGTCATCCTTTGCATTTGCTGAGGAATAGCTTGGAGTATGCTTCACATTTGGGAACATGGTGCATTACAGTTTGCTTGATTAGGTTTTTTTTTTTTTTTTTTTTTGGACATATCCCCTTTAAAGCGGACTACAGCAAAATTCACCCTTTCTCTGACACAAATAACACTCGTTTACCAAAAACAGGCAAATACATTTGCAACAAAGTATTTGATTGCTGACACATGTGAACACACGTTTTTAGAAGTGCAGTTGGGTTTTCACTCCAGACTTCCCACATGAAACCAATTCTCAAAATCACAACCAAAACTGGCAGTGGAAGGTAGGCGTGCACCACTTCGCTTTATCTTTCACACCTGGCTCTCCGATTTTTTCAGAAAATGAGTCTTTTAAAAATCCCTGTCGCTTTTGGACGTGCTAGAAGCCATCTCCTGGGCACTGACTAATCCATTTAGAAAACGGATCACAAGTGGCTGCACCAGCGAATCCCTGGCAGGGCTTTCAGAACAAGCAGGAACCAGCGTCCCTCTCCCCAGCCTGGCTCCCAAGATGGATTGACTTGGTTTGGGCTGGGGTCTGGCCACAGGTATTTTTAAACTCCCTGGCGATCACCCCCAGGATAGGAAACCGCTGTGTCGGCGTCTTGGGCCTGCGCAGCGCCTTCCTACAGCGGCCGAGGTCGGGCGCGCCCAGGATGCCTGGAATAGGATGGGGCCGCTCCGCCGGAGACGCCCGCCGGGCAGAGCCACTCGGCAGAGCCACGTGGGGCGGCTGCGGGCGTCGGGTCTCATCTCAGGCTCCTTACCAGGCCGCCCACCCGCAGTCTCCCGCCCGCACTCCTTCGGTCCCCGCTCGGGGTCCCACGTTCTGCCCCTCCCGCACCCGGGCCCTGGCCCGGGCGGTGACGCATTTCATCTTGGCAGCAGCCTTACAGGTAAGCTCACCCGGGCCGGTGCACTGCGACCCCCCACGCCCCGTGCCACCAGGCCTGAAGGACAGCTCATGGCCCACGCTGGGGGAGTCGCTCACTGCTCTGCGCGGGGCTCCGCTTTCCACCTTGCTGGATTCAGTATCAGCTTTCACCTGCTCGGAGCAGGTGCCCCTATCCACCAAGGGAAATCAGAAGGCTTAGCGCCTGTGCTGCTGGGATCGGAGGGAGCGTTTGGAGCTCATGCCCTTTGGACCCTCTATCCCGACCCAAATGGGGAGAAATATGTGAGCCACTTTTAAGTCTCCTTTTATTAGAAATAACATACATTAAGGCCACGATTAGAATCCTTTAAGAGGGCCGGTCTGACTAGGAGCCCACATTTGTCCCTTAATTTAAAAAAAAAAATAAAAGAAGGGTTCTGATGTCCTAACTCTTGGTGTGAAGAGGGACTAGGTGCCGGTACGATGACTAGTGTATTTCCAGCGGGGAAAATCGGTCGGTAGTCCTGGTGTTCCCTGTGCCGGAGGTCTGCAACAGCCCGCCTGCTAATTGCATGGCTGTGTGGAACATGCCCCATCAGGAGGCCAGAGGTTGTGTCTAAGGTCCCGGCTTTACTGAAGAGAAAACTCATCACCAGCAGTGCTGATGCCCATCAAGCTTTAACAGTGGGGCATGGTGCAGTTCTTTTCTTTTTCTTTTCTTTTTTTTTTTTTTTTTGAGACCAGGTCTTGCTCTGTCACCCAAGCTGGAGTGCCCTGGGTCGATCTCGGCTCACTGCAACCTCTGCCTCACAGGTTCAAGCAATTCTCCTGCCTCAGCCGCCTGAGCAGCTAAGATTATAGGCGTACGCTAACACGCTCAGCTAATTTTTGTAGATTTAGCAGAGACGGGGTTTCACCAGGTTGGCCAAGCTGGGCTCGAACTCCTGACCTCGTGATTCACCTGCCTTGGCCTCCCAAAGTGCTGGGATTACAGGCGTGAGCCACCGTGGCCAGCGTGGTGATGTTTCACCAGAACTTTGGCACATGCATGTGAAGCGGTATTTACATAAGCACTCCCACGCTGGAGTCATAAATTTTAAATCAAATATATGATTTTAAAAATATTTTAATGAGAACTGTTCTACTACAAAGGGTATTAACGGGGTGAGGAGAGGAAGCAAGTGAGGGGAGCCCAAATTGGTAGGTCCTGCTGCCATTCAAAGGATTGTCAGGAGGAAAAACTTTTCTCTACCAGCTAGGTTTGATTGGGGGTCTGCTAATTAACTAGAAAGAAACAAAAGACAAAGTTTATGCATATGCACATGGAAGTGCACAAAAGTGATTTCCTCCATAGAGACAGGGATTTATATAACTAACAATAAGGGAAAGAGGAGTTCTCTCATGGAAAAGGGCGTTTGTAGGAAGATCAAGTGGTTTCTTTCAGAAAGAGAAATGAGTTTTAGGAGATATGAACGTTTCTGGGGATGTTTGTTTACGCAGGTGCCAGTGGTCTCCATCCCTTTTCTGCCCACTAAACCTCCCTGGGAGGGGATTTATAGCAGCTTCACTCTCAGAACTTTCTGCATTTAGTCAGATAAAGGAAGCTATGAAAAACCTCGTTTTTGCATCTGTTGAATCTCAAATGTCTGGTGTTCCAAGTGGGTCCCCACAGGCTGGAGTGTTGCTGTTTCCTGAACAGATAACTGAAACTTATCTGAATTCTGTCCCATTACACAGTAGCGTGGAGGGAATAAAATTGAGGTTTGGGCATTTTATGTATTTAGATAAAGAAGACTTCGCTGTAACTGCAAAGGCACTCATCTCAACATTTAATTCTGGCTCTCAAGGGTCAGCCCAAGTCATGCTATTTTCTTCGCTGTTATTGCTCAAACCTTTGGTTAAGCTGGTTTGGGCTCCACATTTTCTTTTTTTTCTTTTTTTCTTCTTGTGAGATGGAGTTGCTCACTCTGTTGTCCAGGCTGGAAGCTGGAGTGCAGTGGCGCAATCTCAGTGCACTGAAACACCACCTCCAGGGTTCAAGCGATTCTTTTGCCCCAGCCTCCTGAGTCCCCATGGGACTACAGGCACCCACCATTACGTCCAGCTAATTTTCATATTTTTA